CCCCCCCCCCTCCCCCCCCCAACGTCAACGGACGTCGCCAGTCCAGCAACCTTCGCTGGGCTTTGCTTTTAAGTAATTATGTTGGGTATAAAGTATGCAATTTGGAAAGTTGGGTTAGGGTTGTGGTCTGCGTACCCCCCCTCATAAAGGTAGTTTCTCGCGATGCCCATCCCGCCTGTGACGATGGGTGTCCTGCAGCGGGGTTTCGCGGTGACGTTCATGACCGTTGTGACCGCATTCATACGTCTTGAAGAGATCGTTCGAACCGATCGGCCCCCGAGCTCCACCTTTGCTTCGAGAGAGGGCTTCGCGAGCTTAGAATCGTTGTGTGCCGAACGGTTATGAGGGCCGGGGAGGTTGTACTCATCACCAAGGCGAGGGGGTGGGGGGGGGGCGGGGGGGGGGTACTCATAGTCGTGCATGCCGTAGTCGTTAGACCACTGACCTCGCATCCCTACAAAGCCGGGACGGAGCACGCCGGGTTCTCACCGGACCAGGCTCTCACATCACCAAGCGCGAAGCGCCGTGAGGTATTCGGCGAGTAGCATGAAGGGTGCGCTGCATCCCNAGTTACCGCCAAAAAAACAAACGGAGGTAAAAAGAAAAACGGTAACCTGGTTGCCGAGTTAACGAAGTGAATTGGCTTGTGTTACAACGTCGTTGCCAAGCGACGAAAACCCAACCCCGATGGCAAACACCAGGGGGGGGCGGGGGGTTAGCAGGAGAGAATCCCGTGCGGCGAGATACATAGTAGGGCATGAGGTATGGAGCACCGGTGTGTGTCTATCTTGCGGGAGGATGAACGGACCTCGCAAGAATAACGATTCGTGACCCACAGTACGGACCCCAGGACGACTTTGGAGGCAAGCGTCGTGTGACTTCGTTCGACAAAACACGAAGACCCCTCGCCCCTCCACTCCCCTCCTCCTCCCCCGCCCCAACCGCAATTGTCGTATTTGGTCTTTAGAAGCGTTCGGGCGGTACCGGTCTCCAAAACGGCGGCGTTAGCGGCAAGGAGCTGGTGGAGGCCTGCGGGGCTGCTGGCGCCGCCGGGAAGAGGAGCAAGGGAAAGGACAAGGAAAAGCTCGTGAGTGTGTGTGTGTGTGTTTTTTTTTCGATGCGCACCGAGAGTTTCGTATATATGTAGCAAGGGGGAAGAAATCGATGGTGCTTACACGACCTGTGGTGGGGTCTCCTGCGAAGCGAGGCTTTGGGTTCTTCGATTTGCGCAAGCAGCAGAAGAAGCAGCGTGGCAAAGGGTAGCTGTGGCTTGCAGCCGCACTGCAACCATCTTTCGTCGCAAAGGAGAATGCGAGACAAGAAAAGTAATCACTGGTGATGATGGTCTGTTCTACTAACTGCTTCGCTTGGTCTGGCCCGGCCCCGAGAGTGTTGCCGAGAACGCGATAGTGAGCAGGGTGACGATAACGACAGCTGGAGGAAGTAGGAACAAGACGGGCTTGGCTCCAGCAAGAGTTTTGTTCTCCTGCATGACTTGTGTGCCGCTATCGCATTGCCTGCTGCGAAAGAGAAAACCGCTTAGTGCTTTCCTGCAGGATGCGACCCTCCACGGCAACATCTCTAGGGGGGGGGGGGAGACGCTGACTCACATGAAACAGACCTGTTTTTGCTTTAGCATTTGATGGTGACCGACCACGGTTTGGTGACGACAGAAGCCACACTTCATCCATCCTTGCTGAGACTGCCTTTGCTGGGAATTATTTTTGGATCTACTTGAAGTATGAAATAGACACGAGGGCTTCAAACCTCTAACCCTAACCCTGCCTCCCAACCCTCCAAGCTTACTATCCTCGCGAAGAAGTCTACTGACCTTGCTCTCTCCGTTAATGTTCGCATCGATGACGGGCCGTCGATTGACAGTCCCCTCGGTAATTCCAGCGCCGTTGATGTAATCTGTTGAGCGACCCTTCGCTGGTGCTGTCCGCCCGTGATGCTGCTTGCGATTCACCGACCTTTAGAAAGAGCTCACGGCTGAGGAGGTCGCCACTATGAAGATAGCCGACTTCTGCACCTCGTACAAGTCGCGGCTGCCCCCTAAGCCAAAGGACAAGGGAGCCAAGGTGCGTCGTGGTTGTGTCGATGGTTGAACCGGTAACCGCCGCGTGTTTTGATGTCTGAAAAGGCATCAACCACGTGTTGATGGTTGAACCGGAAACAACGGCGTGGTTTAGACGGTTGAGCGAACAGCGGCAACGCCAGTAGCAACAGCGACAAGAAGGATGACAACGACGACGAGAAAACATTCCACCACAAACGGCAGAAGAAAGGCAGGAGCAACCGAACATTCGACTGGAGTTGCATGCACATATTTTGTCAAAACTTAACAACTCTTTCCTAAATCACGAACACGTGTCCCGATCTCATCGCATCTTCCTTTTCCTACTCCCTGGGTTAAACTCGCCGCGGTTTACTACACGAACACAGGAAAAGGCGGTCAAAATGAAGGCGGCGGATGCAGCCAGGAGGAAAAGGAAAGCCCTATCGGAGGCCGGCGGGGCCCCTCCGCCACCCAAGCAGAGCATGAAGGTGGTCTTCAAGGACGGGAAGTTTGTGGTCAACGACGCTGATCTGGTAAGTGTTCCTTCCATTTCCATACCAGTTCCGTTTGGCCTTTGCCGTGTAAATATATACCATGGTATGTTTTTTTCCACGGTGCCCACCCGTCCCTCCTCTTGCTGTGGTAGGCGCTCTACAACGCTCAAGTAGCGAAACGCTGTTTTTTTTTGCCGTGTCGGAGATCAGGAAGATGCGGAGGGAAAGCAAAGAAAAATTCACGGGGAAGAGGACTGAAAAGAAGGAGCCTCGCGATAATGCCCCGGAGCGCATATGCCAGAGGCCTTATGCTTATTTTGTTGCTTGATCCCAGTACAGTAGAGGTCCCTGTTTAGTGCCGGGGTGTGCGCACAAATTTCACCGGCACTATACCGGGCACAGGCACTATTCTTCAGAGTGCCTGAATAGTGCCAAAGGGGCACTATTCAGGGTCTGAAAATCCCTTTATAGTGCCAGACCGGCACTGTTGGCGAACTGTGTGATTTCAGAGTGCAGCGTTTTGCTTTGCGGGGCCAACAGAGTACCACATGAACCGTACGTGGTGAGATCGTGGCATGGGCGTCGCGGGCAGACTGCTGTGCCACGATAGGGGTGGTTTCTGCCCTGTCGAACACACATATTTTGCTTACTAAGTTAACTGGACGGGACACACATGCTGCACCTTGTTGCTGTACCCACCTCAGCGCACGTACTGCACACTTGCACAACCTGACATAAACTCTTCACATGAATATCGCAAAGGATGCACCTCATAGATGCCCAATACTTTGTTGGCAAGAATGCCGTGGCACTGGCCTTTAACGGATCAAACCATTTCGCGCAACCTCAACATCACTCCTCGACAGCGAAAGCAAACCACTGATCATGAAGCCGATGGATTTTTGGCGGTAACACTTTTGCGAAGCTCCTGCTGGCACAACGTATTGGTGAACGAGGAAGCACGTGTACCCTCTCCTCTGTGTCTGTCTTCTGTGTTGTGTGTGTCTCTTGTGTGTTGTGTGTGCGTCGTGCTTGAACCGACACTATTGTGGGGTTCAGTGGGGCCCGAACGGGCACTGTAGTAGGTAGCCCTGAAAAGTGCCGGTCTGGCACAATTCAGGGCGGGTTCTGTGCGCCGAGATTTGTCCGGCACTATACCGGCAACCGGCACTATTCAACCGGCACTTATCAGGGACCTATACTGTAGCCAATTTGTTTTTGTCACATGGGTTTTGCTTTCGATTTATTTGGTTGTTTGTTTATTGATTTATTAATTCGATGTACGCATATTTGTTTCTCCCTGTGTGTACTTCCTCTGTCCCATAAATCTGTAGCGTTATGGACAACGAGTGTTTGAGGTGGAATGCTAGTCCCAGTCTTTATAGACAGACGATGCTTATGAAACAACGTCAACAAAAACAAGCATTTTTTCAATGCAGAGAGCACGTCGAAATATCCCCGATTTTAGCTTTTTTTTGTAAGAGTTTGTGTCTGTGTTTTGTCCCTGTACTCGCGTCGAAATTGGACAAAATATGGCCGTTTCGCGGCCAAGTGTTTTTTCCGGGGATTGGTCCATGCAGGGTAGTGCGCGAAAAACTAAATAAAGAAAGACCTTTGTTCCCTAAATAAAAAAAATGCATAACACCCGAGAAACACTCGAGATTCGAGAAAATCATCGCCGAAGGCATCGGACACGATCAAGTACTCGAACAAATATTACGCTACAGACGGATGGGACAGAGGAAGTGTTTTTTTAATTCTAATCGTTTTTGTCACAACGGTTACATATCGTGCTCATGATCGTTCATTTATCTTTTTGACCGTCCTACCAACCTTCCCGGCAGATCGTGGAAGGCGCCAGCGGCATCGACGACGAGAACCGAGAAGAGGTGGACGAGGACGAAACCACAGCCGCGACGGCGAGCTCCTTCACCAACCGCGAGACCCCCATGCGGTGGAAGCCCCACGACATCATCAAGTTTTACAGGGTGAGGAGGAAAAGAAGGGTTGTCGTCCTCTCGTCTGTCCCCCTCCTCCCCCTATCGTCATCAACGGTTTGTCACCACTAGTCCTACAACCCAAAAACACACGTACCGTGGTTACGCAAAATAGCACACCCCCTGGACCGATTTTCAAAGCTCAACCACTCCACGACGAAGGGCGGGCGTACTCTTATGTTGTGCATGCCTTAGCGGTTGGACCATTGACCACGCGTCCTCGAGAGGACGGAGCATTGCATCCCTTACCAACTTTTCGACCCACCTCCTATGCCCCAGTACAGCTACCGTCCTTTCCTCGCTATTCAATGCCTCAAACATCTCCCTGTACTTCCCATCTATTTTTCCCAGCTCAGTCACGTACACTTTCCTCTCCTTGTTGTACAATGTACATTCCGCGACTACATGAACACGGTCTTCGCATTCGAAGCCGCAATCACATTTGAACTTGTCATCTTGGTAGTCTACCGTCCTATGTCTTCGTCGACGTTCTCGAAGGCCCATGTCCCCGGTCCTGAATTTCACCTTAAGCTTTGTTCCTGCATCCCATTGGTCCATGTAGGTAATCTTTGAACCCTGTTACTTCCTTCAACATTCCGTACACTTCTAGACCCTCCTTATCCTTGGATTCTTTCCTTAGATTCTGTTCTTCTCTCTCGGCACAAGCAACAGATATCTTCTCCTTGAACCCCTGTAGACCCTCCGTTTCCAGCGTCTCATCGTCGTCGATGTCGAGCCCCTTCCACACGTCCTGTACAACCTTGACCCATTCCGTGGGTTGTCTACCCCTCTGTTCATTTGCCCACTTCGCCTCCCACACTATTCTCGGCAACCTCTCCTCGCCCATCCCGCACATGCGATACTGCCAGGTCAGCTTCCTCGCGTCTCTTCNAACAATGTTGGGGACAGCGTGCAACCTTGTGGGACCCCCTGCTCAATGTCGAAGAATTTTGACAGTTCTCCGTCCTAGCATGACGCGCTGTTCGTCCACTCTGTCATCTTCTTCAGCACTCTCCACATTTTCCCCTTGATCCCGTATTTGGACAGTTGTTTCCACAGCCCATTTCTCCATACGGTGTCGTATGCCTTTTTCACGTCCAGGAAGAAGCAGTACGTCGGCTTTCCCGCCCT